ATGACCAGCTTAGACGTTGACTTGGTAGAAGTTCATTTGGCAAGCTACGCATGTAAGAAGACTGCACTTGTTCTGGCCCTTACTGCAGCATAAATGAATTGTTTTCCTATTAACATGCGGCATCTCTCACGACTCGCTCACCTCTTTTAATTCTACAAAGGTCACGACACAGAAGACTCGTATCATTCTGAAGAATTAGAACCCAAATAAAAATCTGCTTTTCTAATGGATGCCATCGATAAAGATTTTTTCTTTATATATATTGTAGTAGCTTATTGTTAATTGTGCAGTGCCGGATAAAGAAGATTCCATTTGTCATGCCACATTTTGGTTATTGCAATCCTGAATTGGTTAGCCATAGAAAAGGAAACTAAAACTATGTAGACTAATGATCCAATAGCCCCTAAGTGAAGGATCTTACTAAGGAAATGGCTTTGGATTTGGTTTGGTCAGCCAGTTCTTGGTTTTGAGCAATTAGTACTTAGTAAGTTTTTGAATTCTTAGAGGTTTCTCCTTTCTTTCCTTTTCGTTTGATTGGAAGCATGCTCAGAGTTATGAAGATAGGGAAAAAATTGCAATTCTCTGGATTACCTTAGTCCATTTTCATGCCATTTTACTAAATTGCAATTGGATGTTGATTCTGTCTAATACAGGTGGAAGGAATACAGGTTCATGCAGATGAGGGAGGGGTAACACAAACACGTGGTGGCATATACTGGATTATCTTACCTGCGGGATGTATGCACTATTCTTGCTGAAAGCATTTTCTTTCTTGCAAAAAAATATATCCAAAAAGCATGTGAATGATGTAGCTAAGTCTCTGAGACCTAAGAGTAGGCAGTTCATGCTTCTTTTTGATAATGTCTCAGACCATTTGGCCTTTAGTTGTAACGTAATAAATTTTGGAAGTGATTGTTTTCAACTTGAAGCTTATTGCTGTTACTATTTCTTCACTTGTTCTGTTGTACGTCCTGGCTATGTATTTTAACTTCTTTATTTCTGTATTTTATTTTTTGACCAAAAAACGTATTTTCTCAATTCTTCTGTTATTTGTTTGCTGAGTGGGATTTACAAATTTTGTTTTTCCAGATCTGGGTTCCTCGTTCTGGGGAATGGCTTTAATAGTTGCTTCAACAAATATCGTCACTGCTAGAATCGCTGCTGGTTGTTTTGCTCTAGCTCTATTTGTGGTGCTGTTTGTTGCCAAAAACGTAAGGCAATCGCTTACTCAAAAATAGTCTTACTGACATTTGTTGTACAAATGCAGATGTTAGAGTAGTGGTTTATTAAATTTCAAAGTGTCTAACCAGCATTTATGCTCTAATTCTTGCTTTCTACCATCTGGCAGTGGACTCTTCGGGGACTTTGTATTGGTGAGTTAGTACTTACGGACTCCCAGAGACTTTAGTATCTACAGCCTTCTTGCTCATATTGTGAGAACTTATTGTCTGAACCTCGCAGGATTTATCATTTTTCTGGGCATAATTTGGCTTCTGCAAGAAACAACAAAAGTCCGTGGTCTTCGATATGTCATTCTGTTTATTGGTAAATCGAATACTACGCCATGAGTTCTTCTCAAATACTATTATTGTCGCCGTTGAAAAGCTTAATGGGTTCTTTTTCCGATTTGATGGACTGCAGGTGTAATGAACAGCTTGTTTTCTGTTTATGGTATAGCTTGTTCCTCCTTTCTTGTCTAGTAGATAACTTTCACTGATGTCATAATAGTCTTATATCCAAAACTTTTTCATGATTCAGATATTTATGATGACCTGATATCTCGAAGAATCAACTCAAGCGATGCAGAGAAATTTGCAGAAGTTTGCCCATGCCCTTGTAATGGCGTTGCATGGGGCTTCATATGGTAAGCATGACTTCTCGGCTTACTGTCAACACATGTACATTGACACAATAAATTTCGATTCATGTTACGAGATTATGCTGCTTTTTTTTTTCCTTATCGTTTATCCCTGTCATGCAGGGGAATGATCTCATTTATCTTTCTTTGTGGAGCTGTGTATCTTGGACTTGTCGTCTTATCTTAAGGTACCACATAAAATGAGTCAAAATAGCAGCTAATGGCTTTTTCACAAGCATAAAGATGCTTCTCTATCAGATTTTTTGGGTGTCATGGCTGAGATAGAGGATGCAAAAATATCATATGCCACTAAATCACCAAATGCTGGTGGCATTTTGAGCTATACAATTGATCATGTTTGACGTATATTAATCATTATCATCTGCTTCCGTTCAGGTTTGTCAAGTTGCATTCAGTTCTTGTTGATATGGGGGACAGCTAGAAGATTAATTCTTTGTGTTTCATGTGAAACACAATTTTGTTTCGTGTGAAGGATATATCCTTGCATAACATTGATGACTCGATTCTTTCGACCCTTTATTTCTAGGGTGTATGTAGATATATTGAACATCCTAGTGATGTATCTTTGACCATTAAGCTAGGAAATCAAAGTTGAGTTATTGGATTGCAACAGATTATCGCTAACTAAGCTGTGTGTGATGGTGAATTATCCATATTGACTCATTGTTGCCCTAAATATTGGGTTACTTGCTGTCAAAGCCACTGCCTCTGAAGATGACCGGATGCACCAAATGTCTAAGATGTAGCTCAATCAACCTCAAATATCGTTCAATTATTCATGTTGTATTCAATGGAATTTGAGAAACCATAATGTCGTAAGGATCGCGATTCAGCAAGGGTGAGCTAACTCCAAAAACTCGTCCTTGGCTCTTTGTTGCTTGGGGTTGTATGATCCGAGTACTATTTACTTTCTTTGTTGGAGTCATAGGAACTCCCTTTCCTTTTAAATGAGGGCTAGCTAATCAACTTTTAGGAGACATAATTGACTGCATTGATCTTGGTAGTGACACCACCCACAGAATGGGTCGCTGGGTCTTTCCATGATTTGTTTATTTCTTATCCCAAGGAAGGCTATTAGGACTTGGGTCTCTTTCTTGGGAAGGGCATCAAGTACATGTATCGTTACCAATTAATCAATTTCTGAACAATTTAATAAAATTTTAAAACACCCTTTGGACTACACTAAAAAAAAAAGGAAATAGTCGCAATAAAAAATCAGTGACAATCAAGTTTGATTGCTAAAAACACTTGTTGCCATCAAAAAAGTTTAGTCGTGAGAAAGAAACTTGCCATCGCAAGTGAAAATTCAGTCACTGGAAGCATGACTCTCGTGATGAAGTTCAATTTAATGGCGAGAGATATCATGCTTTGGATAAAATTGACGTTGATCGCCAGAAATGAGAAAAAAAAATTACAATTTAGGATGAAACTTCTAGCGACCAACTCAAGCTTGGTCGCTGGAAGTTCCTGTAGGGACGACAGACCACATCTGGTCGCTAGAGGTCTTTAGTATAATTAAGATGGGCACAAATTTTGCATTTCATATCTCTCCTCCATTCCTCCTCTCCTCTCTTACACGGATTGCGCTCAGCCACGCCGATAAGATTAGGAGTGATTGGTTCTCGGTCTGGTCCGGTTCCAAAGTGGAATCGGGAACCGGACCGGGAAAACCGGTTCCCAATTTTGAGAACAAGGGAATGGACCGGTTGGTCCTAGGATCAGGAATTGGTCACTTTTTTATTTTTTTTCCCACCACAACAAGAGAGAGTGACAAGTCTCAACATATTGACGGAAGCGACGATAAGTGAAGAGTCATTGGTGCGACAATAAGGGGAAAGTGTTGTACGTGGGTTTAGTTTACATTTTACTATTTTTTTGAAGAAATAAAAAATAATAAAAGTATATGTAGTTGATTCGGTCCGGTCCGGTTCCCCCTTGGAATGGGGAACCGGACCGCCTGGACACCGGTTCCACTTTTAGGAACCGGGAACCGAACTAACACTCCCAAGAACCGGACCAAACTGGCCGGTCCGGTCCGGGCGGTCCGTTTTGCACACCTCTACATACGATCGACACCCACCGTCGCCCTCCTACCTCAACCTCCACCGTGAAGCAGCTCCGCCGCCAATCGCCGAGGTGAGGATTTGTTCGAGTTTTTTTTGTTCTTATTTTACAGCCGCGACATTGAAAATATTTGCAATTCTTCTGGGTGGCTGTGACCTGAATCTCTCCACCTTTTATTTTATTTGTATTTTTCGTTTGTATTCAAAATTAAACAGTATTATAGATATTGGTCCGAAGGTATTTGTGTCTACTAGTACTGGTACGTAGTTTAGGTTGGTTGATAACTTAAGCAACCCTACTTGAGGTACATTTTTGTTCCCTAAAATTGTTGTGTTTGCTTCCTAACTAGTATACAATATGATCTAGCGAGATACACAATGTACACACGACGTGAAAAATAATTGATTATTAATTATTCGCGTGCTCACCAAATGAATACATTTAAACCGTAGAATTCTGCTTAAGGATGGCTTGTGAAACTTGTGTTAGTCACGTTTGTTTTTAATAAGCACAACCGTACTCGATTTTGCATACTGTTCTTGAATTGTCCTCGTCGAACAGTCTGGGAGCATGGCGGTAATTAACATTGACGCGCACGTAATTCTATTATAAAAGGTTTCCGTTACATAATTTCTTTTGTCCATTGGGTACATGCTAGACATGGAGAATGGTTGTCATTTAACAGCAACCCCGTTATGCCATTTTCAACTCATGTGTCTGGAGAACTCAAGGGAAATACTGTCAAAATTACTTTAAAAATGAAAGAAGTGCGCGACAATATGAAAATTTTTGTGATTCTGAATGGGATAGGACCACTACTCGTTAGGAAGGTGACAAATTTAATACATGAATCATTGGAGACGAGTTCTTGTGAGTTAGTTGATAATCTTACATAAAGGTGGCATGGATAGGAGTAGGATGTCAGTGCGGGATAGGTTTTGTTCTAAGCATATTGCGGGTGTGAATCCATTCATCAAGATCGTTAGAAATCACTTAAGGGATGATGGGAAAACTCGTTGTCCATGCCGCCATTGTAGGAATTTTTATTGGCTAACTCTTTTGGAATGCAAAAGCATCTATTTGATCGGACAATCGGTACATCTTACAAATATTGGTCTGCTCATGGTGAAAGTACGAATAGGGATCAACGTTGATTTTGAAAGGGATGAGATGAAGGAGAAGATAGAGAAATATCGCATGACTTGTATCCAACCTTATCTCACCGAATAACACATGAAGGGACATCAGATCAACCCTTTGCTTCGGGAGGACCATCAAAGGATGTACCGACGACAGGTGAGAATGACTGAGAATGATAATTCTAAGAGAAGTTGTCCAAAGTGTCCAAGTATAATAAACAACAAATAATCAGCCGGACGGTGGAAGAGGAAAGATCAACTGCTTGTGCAGGTCCTGCAGGATTGAGGAAATTGACTTCCTTTTTTCAGAAACATCAGCTTCCTATGCTTTTCATTTGGTAGGAATAGTGTCTTTTTCTCGGTATGATTCACAAAAATTGCAGAACTCTCTTTATCTGGTCTAGCTGTTTAATCTGATTTCTCATTTCTGAAGGGCTAGCTTGTATCTGAAGCTCTTGACCTTGCTAATTTGTGTCTGTTAGTTTTATTGAGGGCTATTGCGTACGAAGCAGCACTTACTCTTTGAGGTTCTTGCTTGTAGCTTTCATTGGGGCTGAAATTCAGCCCACGAGCACTTGTGTGGACTGCATATATCATAGGCCTCAAATTGGTTAGGAATATGATAAAGGAAGAATTGTTACTGACAAGACTTCTGGGTCAGTTCTTTAAAATTGTTCTAAGGCGTCATTATTTAACATAGAATGCATGAACTGATAGGAGAAACACTTACCAAAAAAAAACTGATAGGAGAAACACGTGCATGAAGAATGAACTTTTTAAGTGCTGGCCTACAGCAAGTTGAGTAGAGTCGATGTTTTTTATATGATCTAAGATATTATGAAGGAGGAGAACATGAGTGTGGACCGATTTTAATTCTGTGTATCCTAATGTTTATCATTTGAAGACCCCAAAAACAAGAAAATCGGCATTTAAACAATAACCGGTGCTCTTGATTTACAAATCACCTGATATCGGTTAGATGATTTCAAAGACTTAAGTGACCCAATATGATCCAATGGAATAGACAAGGGTAAGCAGACGTTTTAGAATCAGAAGTTAGGACATGCAATATGTTAACATGATGAATGTGTCCAAGAATTGATGTAAGTCAAATGACATGGAGCTAGAGAGAGAAGAGAACGAGAGAGACAGCAAATTAAACCTGATGATCCGTTGACAATTACCACTCACTTGAATCCTCGAGAGAAGAATTCTCTGCGGAGTTATTAAAAAGGAGAATGCACATGCAGCAATGCCAGTAGAATGGATACCCAACATACCTACTCATCAGCTCCAGAGAGTTGAGACTTTAGGTTCAGTTGTTCTGTGTTCTTTCATCCACATGATCGACTAAACTCAATGGGAAACAAAACTTAACTACATGGAGTAAGCCTTCAATATCCCTCAGAGGCAACCAACATTCCAATACAACTGATGGAATATTGGAAGCCTTTGAGGGATACCTAGGACTTCGCCAATTCACTTGAGGCTTCCATTTTCCTACAGAAACATGGTGTAAGCCTTCAAGGTCCCTACAAAGGCTCCGATATCTTCCAAACTATCTTTTGGAATATCGGAAGCCTTCGAGGGACATTGAAGAGTTCACCAATTCACTTCACAGCTCTAAAGTCCTCGAAATCAATGTGTATATATATAGAGATCTCCCATTTGGCTGATGGCAAAATCTGATCGAATCTCAAGTCCGGGATCGCATTATCGGTTTTATCCTAATTCTCGATTTTATTCAGTGTTTCGCATATTTTCCTGTCCAGATAAGCTCTACGCATCGAATGATTTTGTTTTAATACGAGCGAAGTGCGCGACTCCGCTGGCAACGACAATATGTGCTTGACTTATGAGCTTGACATTCTCTTGAGGATAAAGAGGGGCAAATCTTGGATGGATTGATTCTCCATCTGAAGGGCCAAGCAAATTTCTTGATGTGATTCCATCTTTTCATGTGTACAATAATATTCATCTCAACAGAAGTCCACCCACCTCCTACAAATGTTTCCATTCACTTAGCCCGTGGGAATCCATATCATGATAATAGCCTTTTGTAAAAGTTCTTATCTCTCCTGTTTCATGAAGAATAAAGGGGTTCAATCCATATATGGATAGGGTTGCGCACTTGGCTGTTTGAGCACATGCCAAAACAGGTATTCGGTATGGATACAGGAACTCGATACTCTATATCAAAACATAGACGTCAAGATTCCGCATAGTTACTGCAATGCTTGTTGCGATTCAAGAGCCATTGTTTTGTTCCCTCGGGTACAATCAGAGAGGTTAAGAAGTGGTATCAGCTTTTTCATTGATCAGAAGAGACTAGCAGATGTGTGATAGGATTCAGATCACTTGCCTAGAAACCTTTAGGCTGAAATAAATAGATCCCAGCACCATCATCTTCCACGCTCAACCATGAAGAAAAGGAAGTAGTCTAAGCACACAGTGCAAACCATGTCAACCTGAACTAAACCAGGAAAATAAAGAACTTAAAATAATTTTTTTTTAAAAACAGTTTTTACCGGTTTCTCCACAATTGTTTTCCATTTTGATAGTAAGACATGAGTTAATCTCATAAATTCCCTCCGCTTCTGAAAACAGTATGGACTTACTATATCGATTTAAGCCCTTCGGTTGTCCTAAGCCTAACTCTCTGGTTCAATTGAGCCTAAGCAAGGCACCTTGTCTTTGCAAACTCCACTTCATACGGGTTGGGTGCATCTTGACTCTTAAAATATGTGTCAAGCGGCCAAACACTCAGGCATTGGCTGCAGACAGTGGGTTGGTGTTACTCAATGAATTAGACCACACCGGGGTTATTCGTCTTTGCTATATCTCTCCATTCCGAAAGAGCAAAGAAAATGGTCGATCTTGTGCAAAACGACCAACATAAAAAGACTGAGTGGTGCATTGCAAGCTGACGTGTATGAACAAAATCCCACATTCCAACTCCCAGCGTCACGAGAGCTGCTGCCCACCATTTTATCCATGTAAAACATAAAACAAGTTGACTAACATAAACACGAAAAACATTTGCAGTTACCAAATTTTTCCTCAACAAGAAAAGTGGGTAAGTCCAATGATGGTGAATTTACTGTACAACTCATTACAAAGATGCTGATTTGCTCGGCTTCCCTGAAATTTGCCTTCTGGCTTTTCTCTTTATCGCGTTCAACTATCCAATCTTTAGCAGGATTTCTCACTCCAAACATACTGATTTGATTGCAAGTGAATAGCCGGATCATTTATCAAACAGAAGTTCTAACATAACGAGTAAGAGCTAAAAGAGAAATTTCTCGATAATGGGCAATAAAGAACAGTATGTATGCTAAATATTCTTGTCAATCCCATTTGCTGGCTAGTTTCTTGGGAATCTCCATTTTCCACTACCGAAACAACCTTGAAGCATAGACAAAGTTGAACAGATCAAGAATTTAATAGCCGACGCCCTATAGTCTTTGATTTCATGACCTTTGATTTCATCTAATAAAGTACAAGCCCCAGGATTCCCTATACAAATACGAGCTAAGTTTTCTAAAAAGTTACCAATCACTCGTACACGAAAGATCTGGTTACATCTTCTCTTCTTAAGAACTCGTGTTCAATTCCCGCTTTAAGTGATTACGCTGATGTATTCTGGAGCCAATGAAAATCCATACCGCCAAAAGAACCTCCTATCTGAAGAACTCAAAATATTTTCCACCATTGCTGTAACAGTTGGCCACATCGGTGATAGTGATAGCTGCACCAGCATTGGAGACAAACAGTCAATCAAAGGCACCTGTAATAGATGGCCCCCGTGCGAGAAGCGTAATGGGTTCTTTTTCCGATTTGATGGACTGCAGGTGTGATGAACAGCTTGTTTTCTGTTTATGGCATAGCTCGTTCCTCCTTTCTTGTCTAGTAAATAACTTTCACTGATGTCATAAAAGTCTTAAATCCAAAACTTTTTCCTGATTCAAATATTTATGATGATCTGATATCTCGAAGGGTCCACTCAAGCGATGGAGAAAGTTTGCAGAAGTTTAGCCCATGCCCTTGTGACGGCGTTGCATGGGGCTTCATATGGTAAGCATGACTTCTCAGCTTAGTGTCAACATATGTACATTGACACGATAAATTTCGATTCGTGTTATGAAATTATGCTGCTTTTTTTCCCTTATCGTTTTCCCTGTCGTGCAAGGGAATGATCTCATTTATCTTTCTTTGTGGAGCTGTATATCTTAGATTTATCGTTTATCTTAAAGTATTACATAAATGAGCCAAAATAGCAGCTGACGGCTTTTTCATAAGCATAAAGATACTTCTCTATTGGATCTCTTTAGTGTCTTGGCTGAGATAGAGGATGCAAAATTATCATATGCCATTAATTCACCAAATGCTGGTAGTATTTTGACCTATACGACCGATCATGTTTGACGTAGATCAATCATTATCATATGCTTCTCTTCAAGTTTGTCAAGTTGCATTCAGTTCTTGTTCATATGAAGGAGAGCTCGAAGACCAATTCTCTGTGTTTCATGTGAAACACGATTTTATTTAACGTGAAGAATGTATTCTTGCATCACATTGATGGCTCAATTCTTTTGACCCTTTATTTCGGGGGTGTAGGAGATACATCGAACATCCTAGTGATGTATCTTTGACCATTAAGCTAGGAAATCAAAGTTGAGGTATTGGATTGTGGCAGATTATCGCTGATTAAGTTGTGTGTGATGGTGAGGTATCCATATTGACTCATTGCTGCCCTAAATGCTGGGTTACTTGCTATCAAAGCCACTGCCCCTGAAGATGACCGCATGCACCAAATGTCTAAGATGAAGCTCAATCATCCTGAGATATAGCTCAATTATGCATGTTGTACTTAATGGAACTTGAGAAAGTAATAAACTTGTAAGCATCACGATCTAGCAAGGGTGAGCAAACTCCAAAAACTCATCCTTGACTCTTCGCCACTTGGGGCCATAGTATGTTCCAAGTGCTATTTACTTGGTTGGAGCCGTAGGAACTCCCTTTCCTTTTAAATGAGAGGTAGCTAACCAACTTTTAGGAGACATAATTAACTGCATTGAGCTCGGTAGCAACACCACCCACAAAAAGAGTCACTTGGATTTTTTCATGGTTTGTTTATTTCTTATCCCAAGCAGGGCTACTAGGACTTGGGTCTCTTTCTTGGGAGGGACATCGAGTACATGTATCTTTACCAATTAACCAATTTCTAAAACAACCTAACAAAACTCTGAAACATCCTCTGCACTACACTACAAGAAAATCAACCGTTCGTGACCAAAAATCAGTGACAATCAAATTTGATTGCTAAAAACACTTCTTGCCATCAAAACAAGTTTGATCTTGAGAATGAAACTTGCTGTCACAAGTGAAAATTCAGTCACCAAGAGCACGACTCTCGCGAACAAGTTCAATTTAATCGCGAGAGATATCATTATTTGGACCAAATTGACGTCGGTAGCCAGAAGTGATAAAGAAATTGCAATTTACGATCATACTTCTGGCGTCCAACTCGAGCTTGGTCGCTGGAAGTACCTCTAGGGACGACCGCGACCACATCTGGTCGCCAGAGGTCTTTAATATAATTCAGATGGGCCCAAATTTTGCATTTCATATCTCTCCTCCATTCCTCCTCTCCTCTCTTACACGGACTGCGCTCGGCCACGCCCATACGATCGCCACCCACCGTCGCCCTCCTACGTCAACCTCCACCGTGAAGCAGCTCCGCTGCAGATCGCCGAAGTGAGAATTTGGTCGAGTGTTTTTCTTATTTTACAGCCGCGACATTGAAAATATTTGCAATTCTTTGGGTGGCTGTGACCTGAATCTCTCCACCTTCCATGATTTTTTAATTCAATTTGCATTTTTCATTTGTATTCAAAATTAAACAGTATTATCTCAAAAAAAAAATTAAAGAGCATTATAAAAATGGTCCGAAGGTATTTGTGTCTACTATTGGTACGTAGTATACGTTGGTTGATAACTTAATTAACCCGACTTGAGGTACACTTTTGTTCCATAAAATTGTTGTGTTTGCTTCCTACTTCGTATACAATATGATACAGCGATATACGCAATGTTAGCACGACATGAAATATATTTGATCGTTAATCATTTTCATGCTTATCAAATCAATACATTTAAACCGTAGAATTCTGCTTAAGGATGGCTTGCGAAACTTGTGGTAGCCAATAGCCATGTTTGTTTTTTAATAAGCACAACGGTACCCGATTTTGCGCACTGTTTTTTAATTGTCCTCGTTGCAGTACGGTCGTCGTTTTAACAGAAATCCTGCTATGCCATTTTCAACTCAAGAAAAATGCTGTCAAAATTACTTAAAAATGAAAGGAAGTGAGCGACAATACAAAATTTTTTGTGGTTCTGAAGGGGATAGGACCCCTACTCTTTAGGAAGGTGACAATTTTAGTACATGAATTATTGGAGATGAATTGTTGTAAGTTTGTTGATGACTGTGCATAAAGGTAGGCAAGGATAGGAGTAGGATGTCGGTGCGGGATAGGTTTTCTCCTAAGTATATTGTGGGTGTGAATCCGTTCATCGAGATCGTTAGAAATCACTTAAGGGATGATGGGAAAATTTGTTATCCATGCCATCACTGTAGGAATTTTTATTGGCTTACTCTTTTGGAATGCAAAAGCATCTACTTGATAGGGCAATCGATACATCTTACAGATATTGGACTCGTCATGGTGAAAGTACATATAGGGATCAACGTTGATTTAGAAAGGGATTGAGATGAAGGAGAAGATAGAGAAATAATGCATGACTAGTATCCAACGTTATCTCACCCAATAACACATGAAGGGACATCAGATCAGCCCTTTGCTTCCAGAGGACCATCAAAGGATGCACCGACGATAGGTGAGAATGACGAGAATGATAATTCTGAGAGAGGTTGTCCAGGAGTGTCCACGTATGATAAACAACAGATAATCAGCCGGACGGTGGAAGAGGAAAGATCAACAGCTTGTGCAGGTCCTGCAGGATCGAGGAGATTGACTTCATTTTATCAGAAACATCAGCTTCCTATGCATTTCATCCGGTAGGAGTAGGGTCTTTTCTCGGTATGATTCACGAAAATTGCAGAACTCTCTTTATCTGGTCTAGCTGTTTTATCTGATTTTTCAGTTCTGCAGGGCTAGTTTGTATCTGAAGCTCTTGACCCTGCTAATTTGTATCTGTTAGTTTTATTGAAGGGCTATTGCGTATGAAGCCGCACTTATTCTTTGAGGTTCTTGCTTGTTCCTTTCATTAGGGCTGAAATTCAGCACACGAGCACTTGTGTGGACTGCATATATCATAGGCCTCAAATCGGTTAGGAATATGATAAAGGAAGAGTTGTTACTGGAAGGACTTATGGGTCAATTCTTTATAGTTCTAAGGCTTCGTTGTTTGACATAGAATGCATGAACTGATAGGAGAAACACGCGCATGGAGAATGAACTTATTAAGTGATGGCCTATGGCAAGCTGAGTAGAGTCGATGCTTTGGATAATCTAAGATATTATGAAGAAGGAGAACAGGAGCGTGGACCGATTTTAATTCTGTGTTTCCTAATGTTTATCATTCGAAGACCGCAAAAACAAGAAAATTGGCATTTAAACAAAAACCGGTGCTCTTGATCTACAGATAACCTGATATCGCTCAAATGATTTTATAGATTGAACTTTGTGATCCATTGGAATAAACACGGGTAAATAGACCTTTTAGAATTAGAAGTTAGGACATGCACTATGTATAACATTATAATTATGTCCAAGAATTGATGCAAGTCAAATGACATGGAGATAGAGAGAGAAGAGAAAGAGAGAGAAAATAACTTATACCTGCTGATCGGTTGACAATTAGCACTCGCTTGAATCCTCGAGAGAAGAATTCTCTGTGGAGGTATTAAAAAGGAGAATGCACATGCAGCAATGCCATTAGAATTGATGCCAAACATACCTACTCATCAGCTCCAGAAAGTTGACACTTTAGGATTTAGTTGTTATGTGTTCTTTCATCAACATGATCGACCAAACTCGATGGGATACGATCCTTAACTACATGGAGTAAGCCTTCGATATCCCTCATATGCAACCAATATTCCAATATATCTGATGGAATATTGGAAGCCTCTGAGGGAATACCGAGGACTTCGCCAATTCACTTGAAGGTTCCATTTTTCTTCAGAAACATGGTGTAAGCCTTCAAGGTTCCCTCAAACCTTCCTACATCTCCAACCTATATGTTGGTATGTCGGAAGCCTTTGAGGGAACACTGAAGGTTTCGCCAATTCTCTTCACAGCTCTAAAGTTCTAAGTAATCGGCGTGTATATAGAGAGATCTCCCTTTGGCTGACTACAAAATTTGATCAAATCTCAAGTCCGGAATCGCATATCAGGTTTATTCTAATTCTCCGTTTTATTCAGTGGTTCGCATATTTTGTCACGCCCCGAACCCCATCGAGCACGCGACACACCACTCTGGTCGATTAGTGCGGTGTCCCAGGGTATCGCCGACCCAATTTATTTATCAGAGATTTAAAACGATCAGCGGAAACCTCAATTTCCCAGACAATAATATAACTGGGGTAAACAAGGAGAATATACATATCCATTTCTCATTCAAACTTATATAATATTCACAATTTACAAGCCACCATATACATATGCACACCGTACTATAAACCACCGACATCAAAAGGATCGATAGCCTGGATACCCTATCTTCCAAAAATGATTCACCTCAAAAAGCCTATACCAACCCCTACTCTAGCCCCTACGCCCTCTACTGGGCGTCCATACTGAGTCGGATTCTTCGTCCTCTGAATCTGAATCCCCTTGGACTGTCTCCTCCGAAGACTCCGGCTCTACTCTAATCTCAATCGGGTTATTGGTGTCACCCGATTCCGCTGGGACTTCTATCTACTCCTCCTCCACTGTCTCCTCATCGGACTAGTATTCCGGCACGAACTCAGGGTCAATCCACTACTCATACGGGGGTATATACTCTGGTTCTCCTTCAGGCTTAGCAGGTTCATCCTCAGGTTCTGCCTCGGGCTCTTCCTATTCCGGTTCTTCCTCTAGGATCGCCTCGAGATCCACGTCCATTGAATCATACCCCGCCTGCGATTCATCAAGCTCTGGCTCATGCTCGGCCCCCGAAGGTTCAAGTGCTGCAGACGCTTGCTGCAGTCTAGATTGTGCCATAATAGTTTCCAAACTAGTCAACTCACCGTCGGGAGCTGGTATGGCAGACGGGTCCCAATCCCCGACTCCATCAAAGGGGACATCAAACCCTCGGACGGGACCGAACTCATCTATCCCGTCCCTAAAGAACCAGGCAGTATATGTGTAGACCTGCAAAAGGGGTAACCCTATATCTACCCAAACTACTGAGGTATGCTTTATCCAAGTCATATTTTCATCGATCGGAAACTCTACGACATTGTGGTCGGTGTGCAGGGGTAACCCAAAACGCTCTGGTGGCAACGGCGGCGACGGATTCATTATTCAGGCCGGGGTTCTGAAATTGTTGGTTGAGACAACCATGAGAATATATCTTAGTAAGCACAAGCCCTAAACCCCACCTAGGCTATCACGTACCTCCAGACAATCACGACAAACAATCACACTCAACTATTACACTGCAGGCACACAATCAATGCTTACCTGGACCTTTCCAGCGTGCAGCCTGCACGTTAGTCACAATAACACTGTTCCACTCACATGCATGTTCTAATTACATTTCATGCATTCATTCCGATCTCATCACATCTTTTTCCACACCACTCGCCAGTGACCCACGTAATGGTACCGCCTCAGGTTCACTGCGACCAACTCATTCTCAACTCGTCAGTGACCCGTGTAATGATACCGCCTCAGATACACTGCGACTAAATTATAACAACACTTCAAGGCCCGCGTAATGGTACCGCCTCAGGCCGTATATCTTGCCCGCATAGTGGTACCGCCTCAGGCTCAACACCCACCACCTACGACACAACCCGTGTAATGGTACCGCCTCAGGTTGGCTGTCCTCCGGTAATACCGGGCATCATCCCGCGTAGTAGTACTGCCTCGGGACGGATCAACTCCCCGCGTAATGGTACCGCCTCAGGGATTTTCACAAACACACATACCACACCTCACACAATTTCTCGCTCATACACATACTTAACACCCACTTGCTAATAAATTGGCCAATCACACGTGACCCGTGCACGCACCAAATTACACATATTCTCATGCTCAATAAACATCCAATATGGCCAATTGATAATTAATTCAATTCGGCCCGAGCGTGCACATAGTAAAGCATATTTTAATCAATCAATTGCACACTAATGCACCCAATTTCATCACCACAATTCAGCCACATCAAAAACACACAATCGACATACAAATTCTCATTTTTCCACATCCAAACTACGGCGAATCGATTCCGGCCCTTCACGACATTTTCACACAATTAATCGCCGAATCCAAATACCCAATTTACGTACCGCACGACACATCACAGCACGCGTAACAGCCACTCACATACCGCTTTTGGCCTCTAATTTTCCACCAAAATCTCCCAATTTATTCCTAAGGCCCGCTAATCAATTCCGCCCCTAAAACCATACTAATCCGCGTCCAATTAAACCCGATTCCACCTCAAATTTGTCCGTCGATACCCGAAGTCCTAAAGAAAGTTTAGGGCGCGACTTACCGAACTCTAGACTGACTCGGCTAGAGTGGAAAACGGGCGGCGATCGACGGTGGACGGCGGCGAGCGGCGGCGCGGCTGCGGCGGCGGCGGCGGCGACGGCCTCCTTGTCGCGGTTCACGGCCATGGGAAAGGGAGAGAGAGAAAGAGAGGGACGGCGTGGGGTGGGGGTACGGCGCGGTGGCGGTTCGGCGGCGATCCGGACGGGCGGTGACCGGCGTGCGGCACCGGCGAAGGAGCGGCGCTCGGCGAGGAGAGAGGAAGAAGAGAGAGCGGCGAGTTTGAGAGAGAGAGAATGAGGAGAGAGAGAGAGAGAGAGAGAGAGCCGAGAGTTTGAGAGAGAGAATGAGGAGAGAGAGAGAATGGGTCTTGGTCTAAATAGTCCAATTTTGACCAATTTTGGCAAATTACCATCTTGCCCCTCTCTAATCTTTTTAATCAACGGCCGAGATTCGATCTTATCTTGGAATCGACGGCCGAGATCGAATCTTTTCCAAAATATCCAAGGTCAATTTGGGAATTTCTCAAAAAGTTCAAGGGCAAAATGACCAAAATGCCCTTCCCTCTTAAAGCTTGCCCTTAACAAATTCCTAGGGGTAAAACGGTCACTTTTCCATTTTCTTGCCGAAATTGAATTTTTCTGAAGGATCCGGGAAAATCTAAAGCTGTACGTTCCAACCACAACGTCGTCCTAACGTCCCGTAGTGACTTCCTAATTTTTCGATGTCCAATTTGGGCTCTAATTAATAATTGAATCTTATTTAACATAACTCGAGCGTTTCTCAAACTAACGGGCGGCTTTTGGGGAAATTCGCATATTCGACCCATGACTAATAATAAATCGAGTCACGTGCAAGTTCATTCGGTCCGTGACGACTTCGGTTGTCACTTAATCGCGAGGATCGATCGCTAGATCCGAGGGGCACGATCGTTTGGTATAGGTTCAGGATCATTCGTCAATTTATTTCATGGTCCAGCAGAATCACCCGCGATCCACTACTATGACAGTGGCGGACTGACCCCTGGCTATCCTTGGATCGGCCTACAGTGGCTCAAAATGTCACCTGAACGATTTTATGGTCAAAAATCAATTCACAACCGAATTTTCTTTAGTCGCACGAATTTAAATCCCTAATTAGCCTTTCCCTATTGGTTAGTATCCCATGAATGATCAGTTCCGGGCGAGAACTAACTATGAGTACGTTCATAAAACCAAGCATTTCATAAATCCCAAATAGGCAAATTTCAGGATGTCACATATTTTCCTGTCCTGATAAGTTCTGCACATATCTAGTGATTTTGTTTTAATATGAGCAAAGTGTACGACTCCGCTCGAAGCGACAACAACATGTGCTTGACTTATAAGCTTGACATTCTCTTGAGGATAAAGAGGGGCAACTCTTGGGTGGACTGATTCTCCATCTGACGGGCCAAGCAAATTTCTTGATGTGATTCGACCTTTTCATGGGTACAACAATATTAATCTTACAGAAATCCACCCACCTACTACAAATGTTTCCATTCACTAGCTG